CCCCTCATCTCCCGACCAGTCAGTTTGTTTCCGCCGATACCTCGCCTAGAGTGGATTGAGCCGCATTTGGGTTCGGAAGCTTGCAGCTGACTCAAAATATCGCAGTAAGCAGCGCAGTAGCCTGCTGCTCATCTGCTGGATGTCGTGACAATACTTCTGCATTATCGTGTCATCGGCTTGATCAATACTGGCAAGTGAATTGGCATTTCTTTTAACGCTCCTGCCACCAAGCGATCTGTTCTTGTGGATCCAGAAAATTCTGTTGCCAACGCAATGATCGGTGGTATCTGCGAACGACCGACTTAACAAATCGGGTCGAAAGTGATAAAGAAAGTAGACCGAGGCCAACATTTCCCGTCGTGTGGTAGAAAACTGCCAGTGGCTGTCACACACTTGGGACTGGGATCCGAAAAATGTAGCTTTCCTTTAAGATTGTCAGGAACTGCGCCATGCGCTGCCTCATGGTGGGGATTAGCCAGAGGTTGTTTAGAAACCCAAGTAGCTGGGCATATAAATCAGAGCATTTGGAATAAACCATGGGATCACAAAGATGTGGCAAAATCTATGAGTGACTTGGACAATCTGCACCAACTGTTGCTCCGGCGTGACATCATGCTTGCCCTGAAGTGTAAAGTCTAGTGCTGCTGTCCACTCAAACCTACTGTGGTTTGCAGAACCTGACCCACCAGATCGATAGGCATAAAAGGCGGGTTGTGTTCAAGCATCGGCGTCTTCAGTTTAGCTCATGTCTGGTGGGTACACTGCATGAGCAATGAGCGTGTTCCGCGTCGTGCAGGAATGGCGAGTGAACCGCTCAGCACCGTTATTTCACGAACTACGCTCCGATGGCTGAAGTAGGTGTTGCGCATGCCAGCACACCGACTCCCGCGACGTGTGTCGTTTGCACGGCCAGGGTGTGGATGGAAGAAGGCCCATACTTCGAAGTTGGCCTCGGTTGGAGTCTATCGGCTCCCTGGTTTCGGACCGAAAGACGATGAACACGTTTGGCTGGATACAATTGTTGAAATGGCTAGGAGCCGACCTCAATTGCGTTTGTGTTGTGAGTTTCTTTGTCCCACCCCATCCTTCTTAGCCTCCCACTCCAACCACGACCGTATTTATTAGGCATAATATAACTCCTTTTTGCGACACAACAGCCGGCTATCAGCTCTCCGGAACGATGTCCATCCGTTACTGGTGACTCAGCCGGAGTGCCACTGTTTCCTTTCTTTTCTTTTCTTTTGTATTGCGGCACAATACCTGAGGTGTTCTCCACCTGCAGCCAACGGGTATACTGAGGAGGAGGATGATACCAAAAGACGTTTAGCCGAACGCGTACGAGAGTATCACTCAGCGTGGTTAGGTCGTGAAGTAAATAGAACCTAGACCACTGCAATTGTCTCACAGTTAACCGATACTGAGCATTCGGATGTCATCCCAAAGATCTTCCACCCGATCTACCGAGTAGGGGAGTGCGCTCCAAACTGATCAAATGCCGAATACTTGCAGTGATAGATGCGATCGCAACCGGTCTTAACCACCCCCGTCTATGTATGCACGAATAATTCGTGGAAACTTTAAATCCACCCTGGCCATCTGTCGCGCACTCAATGTCAGATGCGACCATCATAATCGCGTGAAAAATTCAAAACGCGATTGTCCCCTCAACTCTTATTTACATTCATAATACGTGCTGTGTCCTGTTTAATGTTTGTTAGTTAAACGTGTTGTACTTAGCCTGATGACGAATCATCACAGAAAAAAGATCCTGTCTGATATGCTACCTTTTCGTGAGTGACACAGGAATTACTCATCACCGGAGTATAATCATTTGAAAATTCTATAAGAGCGAATAGTACAGGACCCAAAAGAAATCACAGCATACTTACATTATTCCGACGCCCCCTACCGGTTGACCTAGTTGGCTGAGAGCATATACACCTGAGCCATTTGTAATGTCTTGGATTTGCCCCTGCGTGCTATGAAATCGTCGCAACGTCGAGGAATATATTGCTTATTTATTTTATTCAGTTATAATCACAACAATTGGAAGCGAGATGAAACGAACGCCAACAAGTGAGGCTCGGTGAGTAGAGAGCAGTCAGTAAATCAATAGTATCTTGGGCGTAGGTGCCGATAGCACCAAACAAACTGCACCTAACTACGATAGGAAATTGAAATACTTCAAGGAGAAGTGATAGAGGGATAGGTGGTGAGACAAAATAATAAACTTGAGATTAGGCAGGAGTACTAACGTCAACGAGCCGTAAGAGAGAAGGGAACACGATTAACGTGTGTGATTCAAATTAAAATAGAATATCGCGAGATGGAAAAAAGAATAAATTATATAAGTATGGGCGGGCGGAAGAAAACTGTTAAAGGGGTATCATGAACAGTTTAGCAAAGCATCAGCCGCCCATAACACAAGGTGTATCAAAGAAATTCGTGTGACAAACGCTTGTGCAAAAGAAGAGCGTAACAATCAATCAGGATGATTATGGTTCAGAAAGTGTGACTGGGTCCGCTTGGAGCACTCTGAAGTTGGAAACCAACAGAAATTGGCTATACACTGTACAACTCCCGCAGAAAACTCCCAGAACAGTCGCTCAGCCGGAACCCATGTAATTCACACATTTTGATGGGTCAGAAGGGAAGTATTTCTGGCACTGGGTCATGAGCCGCTTGATTGCTTGAATGTATTTACGCTGCGTCTCATCGTTCAAGACGTGGGCCACATTTTTCGCGTGAATTTTCTCCTGAGCTGTGCGGGAGTGAATACCATGATTGGTCACCCCCAAAGGCCAAGGGGCATTACCAATAGCTAATTCAAGGTAAGCGTCGTTGGCCTGTCGAGAGGAAAATTGGGGAGATAGTTAGATGCGTTAGGGTCTGAAAAAGAATGAGCATCATGCATACCAATGAGGGCGGATTGTATCCCCACATTAAAAGTAGATACAGGCAGGCCTGTCGAACCGCCTCCTTAAAGCCAAAACAAAGCCTGGGTAAGAGTAAAAAGTGCTGCTCACAAAGTGTTGTTGTTCATAATCTACATATAGTTTATTTACTGTTCCATTGTCATCGTTCTTCCGCAGCTAGCTCTTTTCTGTTAAACATAACAGCAGTATGCCGGCACACTGTGCCGAGGTTTCGTTGCCACGCGACGACCACCACCAGTCGCGCGAGGGCTGGGTCTAGCGAAAAGTCGCCTGCGGATTCGAACCGTCTGCGCGAGCGCACAGTTCGGTCCCTGCGCCCGGTGCATCCTACGCCTGCTCTGACTGGGTCTATGTTGGGCTAGGTCGCACAAATCCGGTGTTACTATGGTCAACTTGTGTAGGTGACAGTTAACTGGCTCGCAGACCGCGTCAGGCCACCTCGCCCAAACCATTAGCCGTTGCCACACCGCGGATCTGCAGTAAACGATTGTAGTAGCGCAATACGGTACTGCGAGCCCATGTCTATTCCACCATATGTTCAAGTAATACGAAGGAGAATGGTATAGTCATTGAGCAATCTTAGTAGTGATCCGGGGTGGGAAGAGGTATCGCCGCACAAAAAGATCAACTGCGCCAACACTGATGACTTGGCGAATTGTGAAGCGGCACCACAAAACCAGGAAGGTGAGCAACCGCTGAGTGCTGTCCAAGCAAATCAGGACAATAGGAGGAATGCGTTATTGTTTTAGAATCAACGCTTCGATACTCGATAATCTACAGAGGGTTGGACACCGGCTCCCTCCAATCGGGAGATTCTGGTTGATTAACGCAATGGCCGCCGTGTTCAAATAAGTAAGAGACTGTTCGCACTATTTTCGGGGATCTTGGAAATCCATGTATGATTTAAGGCGGATCCGGCATACCGATTAGCCCCCAAACACAGGATGGGCCGCGGAAGAGAGACAAGCTAGCAAGTGCAAAAAATAAAAAATTGGTCTGAAAAGCTAGTGCCACCTACAGCTGAGGGACGTTGTTTCTCCAACGCAACGCCTGAAGCAAGGTGAGAAGTGTGAGAAACTAAGAAGATCGATTGAAATTGTATGAGGAGCAATATAAATGCATGGTTCGAACAGCTTTACCTTCAAATAATTTCCGTCCATCATCAGAGCGACGATTTTGACCAATGAGTCCAGAATATCCTCTCGACAGCACTGCAATAAGAGTGACTTTAGACGAAATATACGAAGAAAATACCTTTTCTTGCAAAGCTCTCAAAAGCGGTTTGATGTAGTCCACAGTCTGTGTGTAAGTTGCACTACCAATTTTCCCCGAATAGGATAGCTTTTCCTCTTTCGATCTGGCATTTAGAGTATGACCCCACTTTGAAAGAAGAAACTGAAAACCAAAAGGGAACGACCGTTTAACATGCAATTAGTTCATTGCCTAAAAACAAGGATTAAAACGTGGTATAGGAAAACCTACAGGGAGGCAGGATACCAAACCCCAGGACGAGTTCGCAGGCAAATTAAAAAAGTACGTCCGGTATATCCATCAGTATGCTCCAACATAACTTTGTTTTGATTGAAACTTACCAAAACTAGAGTTCCTGTCTTCTGTCAAACGCGTGAGTCAATAAACGCCTAAACGACTGGAAAAGGTAGTTAACAATAGTGTAGCAATAGTAATCACCGCCATGTAGCCTCAACAAGTTGCTGAAGGAACTGAAACAAGCCAATCATATGGGAGAATACGTTGCTCGAACGGTTAACCCAATGCGGCTCGCAAACGCCTCGTCTATATAGGTTACCCAACACACATGTCTGGCTCCGCCGTACACACAGTGGTAAAATGGCTCGTTGAACTACTCGAATCACTCAGTAAGAAATTGTCTGCCCACACTGTGAGGGATACATTTGAATTGGTTGAGTGGGTAAAAAAGCTGAATGTGAAGGAGAAAATGATACTCTTCTTTTACGTTAAATAATTCTTTACTAACGTCTCGTTAAGAGCAACGGTAAGTTTTATTTGTGAACAACTAACAGAAATGTTGTTGCAGTAAATCAGCGATTGATGTCTTAAGACTCATAAAATTGCCAATTATGCAGGTCGAACGAATTTGTAGAATTAACTGGAAATCGGCCGAAGACTGCCAGAGATGGGTGATGGCACAAATCCCTCTATGCCATCCAGTAACATTTGACCGCAAAAACGCCATCACACTTAAAAGAAATAAAAACGTTCACACAAAACACTATAGTTGAGAAATAATTAAATACAAAAATCAATTCTATGGGGGGCAAACATGGTTTAATGCACACGCAGAATCCATCGTTTACCTTCAAATAGCGTAGAACATGTTCAGTGACCTTATCACGGAAGTCGGATTCGAGTTCACCAGTGATAGTAGTAGGCGTTAGCTTACTGATTGCAACCACTGTAGCTGTGGCATCATCGGTCGCAGTCCCTTCGCGATAGACCACGTAGCAAGCTAAATCTAATTTCATTTTGTCAATATCTTCTTCGGTCAGAATACTTTCCTTTGTTTTCACGTCAGCTGCGTGTGTCTCCGCAGCCGTCCGGCCTCGGCCAGAACTGTAGAACTCCTCGTCTTCGGCATCATCGACCTGTGAAGTGAGGGAATTATCTAAAACGAACCATGTTCAAACTCACTTTGTCAAGGGCTGCGATTAGATCATTACGCATTCCTTTAGATTCTGGTTCCAGCAACTGAACGCGTTTTAACCGCTGAAACGTGTCATAGTCACTTTCACCAAAAAGGCGTATTGGTTGGTTGCGCTCTCTAAGAAGTCGAATGACCTATGAAGATTTGAATCTATGGTCAAATGACTGTCTCACCTCCTTGCGAGGCATCAACTTCCCCTTTTCTCGTTCTTCTCGGCCCCTTTCCTCAAACTTTTTAAGTAGCAAGTTCTCTTCTTCATTCTAAACACAAATAATGAGGGAGAATAAACAATGCCTTTTGAAACAAGTCAGCGTCTCGTTGATCATCTCCGTATTCTTTGGCTCGCTTTGACTTGGCTAAATATTCCTCATTTTCTTTTTGAAGCAAGGCAGAGCGCTTGAAGTATTTAGTTTCCCCCTGACATATGAGTTAGTTCCGGTGGAACGTAAGTGTAGTACATACAATAAGCTTATTGCTTTCCAGGTAGTCACGCTTTCTTGCAATCTCAGCCTTTAGTAAATCCATGGCTGAAAAAAGAAAAACACATATTAGAGCCAAGGAATCAAGACTGCGGCAAGTATGTCAGACAAGAGAGAAATAACCTCAAGCCTAATTCACTGTCATTGCTGACCAATTCTCTTGCGTTCAAAGCCCAAACAAATGAGAGGATACTGGCCTCAGTGTATCAAACAATGTATTAGGTTGTCCGAAATCAGATGATTTTTCGGTAAATTGTTAAGCCATAGCTATTTTAAATAAGCAGCAACATTCAATGACTGTAACATTCAATGTTATCGATACCGTACTGTCAACAGGCATGCTGTCGATGCCTTTCTCATAGAATAAGCTGGGCTGGCTGTCAAAGTATTGGACAAGGTACGTTACGGTTCGGTTGCGGTCATCGAATCTCGTGTGCTTGATGTGATTTTGCAGCGAGAGGAAAAGGCGGTGATCGGTAGTAACAAGGTCTGGGCTAAATGATGGATGCATAAGCTTCGATACTGAGCTGCTGAGTCTTGAGACGAGTCACCTTTGCCCCATGAGGACGTGCATTGTCATGCAGCAGAAGGATTCGGGTCGCTCTTGGGCGCTTTTATTGATATTTGATGACCATCTTTAGCAATTGTTGGCAGTAGGCACCGGCAGTCGCCGTGGAATAAGCCGGTAGCAGTTCTCAATAGATGACGCCGCAGCAATCCCAGCAGACCGATACTATCACCTATTTGCCGTGCAGTCCGCCTTTCGGGACCTGTACTGACGTTTCATCTGTTGCGATCCACTGACATTTTTTGCTACGGTTGATATGGAGCACCCACCTCTCGTCCCTAGTAACGACATCGCTCAGTTATCGATGATCGCGTCCTCAGCTGAGCAATGAAAGCGTGATTGTACAACGGTTCAAAAGCTTCTCAGCAGTCAATTCGTGTGGTACAAGCTGTCCGAATCTTAGGACCATTCCGTACTGAACAGGAAGTGAACCGCGCATCACCGTTACTTCACGAACCACGCCCCCATAGTTGAAGCACGTGTAGTGCACGCCACCACAACGAGACCCGCGAAGTGCACTGTTTGCGGGACCAGGGTGTGGATGGAAGAGGAGGAGAGGCTAAGCGATGATTTAGTCAAGAGGAATGAAGGGCCTTACTTCGAAGCTGAACTCGGTTGGAGCCTCTCGGCTCTCTGGTTGGGGTCCGAAAGATGAAGAACACGTTTGCTTGGATACATTTGCTGACATATTATTATTATACACATTAGCTAGAAGTGCGAAGCACCTCAGTAATACATGCCGCAATACATAAAAGAAAAGAACTGGAAAAATATGGAACAGATGCAAGCCAGCTGAGCTACCGGTAACGGATGGACATCGTTCCGGTAAGCTACCAGCCGGCTACTATGCAGCAAAAAAATTTACTATGCAAAATTATATAAGGCTAAATAGTGAGATCGTGGTTGGAGGGGGAGGCTAAAAGGATGGAGTGGGACAAAGAAACTCACAGCACGAACGCCACTGAGGTCGGCTCCTAGCCATGTCAGCAAGTGTATCCAGCCAAACGTGTTCATCGTCTTTCGGACCCCAACCAGGGAGCCGAGACGCTCCAACCGAGGCCAGCTTCGAAGTGAGGGCCTTCATTCCTCTCGACCAAGTCATCGCTTGGCCACCTCTCCTCTTCTTCCATCCACACCCCCGGCGCACAAACAACGCACGTCGCGGGAGTCGGTGGGCTGGCATGCGTAACACGTGGCCGAGCCATCGGAGCCTGGTGCGTGAAATAACGGTGCTGAGCGGTTCATTTCCTTTCCTGTGCCGTAAACAAGGCGTCGAACACGCTCGTTGCTTACTCGGTGTTCCCATCAGATGCGAGCTAAATTGCGAAGGCACCGGTGGTCGAACGTAACTAGCCCCTTTATGTCCGTTGATCTAACGGGCCAGGTTTCGCAACCGTACAGTAGGGTCAAACGTACCGCTTCATTGTACGCTCTACACCCTTCAGGGTGAGAGTGATGTCGCGCCGCCGCCATAAGTGGCGAAGGTTAGCAAAAACGCCTCGAGCTTTTGCTATACGGTTCGTTATCTCATCTTCAACCCCATGGACACTGATACAACTTCCCAGGTAGTTGCTTTTTGAACGATTTCCAGCTGATCCCCACCAAGGGTCAGCGCAGAAGGTAGCCCAGGCAAACCATGGATGAATATTTTGCACTTCGATGGTGCAAAGCAAAGCCCGAAGTGACAAACAGCCAGTGTTAATCTGTCCAGTGCAGCCTGGCACGTTTGTGAGCTGTCACAGATTAGGTCAATTTCATCAGCATACTCCAAGTCAAGAAGTCGTTCTCCTAAGAGCAGAACGACACCTAAGTCGTGTCCTATGAACGCGATTTCCATGACTTCGTCAATAGTAAAGTTGAAGAGGAAAGGTGACATTAGGCATCGCTGCCTTACACCGCTAGATATTAAAGAGCGACGACAGCTTGCCGTAAGACCTCACTCTGCCCGAACTATGCGCGTACAGCGCTTTGATAATGTTTACTATTTATCTGGCACACCTTTCCTGAGTAGGCAACACCAAGTAAGCAACGCAGAGGTGCGAGACCGAGTGCTTGGAGCGAGCAGTGTCAGTCTTCAAGACATTATTCTCCGACATCGCGTGCGTTGGCTCGGGCATGCTTTGCGCATGCCAGACCATCGCTTTCCACGTTGAGCGCTATTTGCACTCCCAGGGAGCAATTGGAGAAAGTACCGCGGTGGACAGCCAATGACGTGGAAAAGAAGCATGAAGAAGACGCCTTCAAGTTCGGCAGCAGTCGAACCAGTCCGCCTTCAAGCATGGGGACCACGAGATGCTGAATATTCGTGATTGGAAACATTGGATGTCATGGCCCCCCGCAACAGACATCGTGGCGACAGTCCCAGAGTGCACGTCTATCCACCGAACCGAATGCACCTTTGATATCGAGGAAGACGACAACGGTGGGCCGCCAATATGTGTGACGGTGCTCCAACAACTCACGCAAAGTGAAGATGTGGTCAATGCAGCCACGACCTCGACGAAACCCGACTTGCTCCTCACGAATCTGGCTTTCACGAGCGCCAGTCAGTCTGCGAAGGATTATAGAGGCAAGCAATTTGGAGGCGATGGAGATTAGACTGATTCCTATATGGTTGCCACATGCCGATCGAGTCTCCCTTGCAAATTGGGGCTGATGGAGCAACTCCAGTCGTTTTGGATAGTTTGCTGCTCCCACAGTTCCATTAGTAACTCGTATAAATCATCCACAAGAGCAGGTCCCCCGAGTTTGAAGAGCGCAGGAGGAAGATCATCTGGTCCTGCGACTTTATTTAACTTCAACAGTCCGATCTCACGTTCGACTTCTGAGCGAGGGAGAATCCAAAGGGACAGCCCAGGGAAGAGGGCGATCACTGGCCGGAGAGAAATCTGACAATTCCGATCGATTAAATTGGCTTTTAATGTGCTCAGTGCAACGCTCCAGACGTTTTGACCAGTTGTGGATAAGCTGTCCATTCACGTCACGTATAGTTGCACTACCACCAGGTCTCCTGCTGCCCGTTTCCCGTATCAGACGGAATAACTTACGATGGTTACCAAGGGCAGCGGCCACTTCCATCTCTGATGCACGATGAGACCACCAGGATTCGCAGTCTCTCTTCAGGCTAGCACGGAGTTTTGCCAGGAGTTTTCTGCGTGTCTCATTGTGTTCGCTTCCAGCCGGAATGTGCCGGCGAGTATCAATAAGTTCCAGAGACAGCGAAGAGACCCAAAATCCATGTTTGTGATTAGACTTAACACATGAGGATTTGCCTGCTACTAGTAAGGTCTGGTAAACATGAGACCAATGAGCTTCAATTGTATCCAGTGAGCGCTTACTTAACTCGCATGTCAGCATACTTTGATAGGCATTCAGAACAGCAGGCTTCATCAGTTAATTGGTGTCAATGCGCTCACAGGGCTGGCTCGCCGAACAACCTCCTCGTGGTGCCAGCTGGGCGGTTCGGGAATTTCCCGTTCCGGCGAATGGTTCGGCGGCAGTGTTCCAGGACGTGGTGGGTTTTCGCCTGGCAAGCGTTCTCCCTATAAAAAGCCACAAATGTCCGTTTAACAACACTGCGACGTGGCGGATGTGACTCGCCACTAAATAAAGTCACTGCCCCTTGTCTCCTTTGGAGACATTGTACACCGGCAAGCAATCCGAGCATCGGATCTTGTCTCTGACTTCGGGAGTGTTGGGCCCCTGGCATGGCTTATCGTCATCCGAAAGGCGTATGAACTGAGTGTCCAGTCACCGGCTCCCAACGGGTGCGAATCCCTCATCTCGCCCTGCTGCCTTGTGGGTTAGGCCCTTTGGCCAAAGGCTCGGGGCGGTGGTCCCCTAAGACAACCTACCTACCTCGGCCTAGGCAACCGGGTAGTATCTCGCCTACTGACGAACCATGGACTTACAACTACAACCATTCACACGCTCTCTTGCTGCTACGATGCTATTCACTCATGCTACTATGCCAACTTCACAAGCACACGCCACCATTTACCTACCCTTCCCTTGTACCATTCACACCCATTTTTACCTGATTCCTCTATGGCGATCAACCCCACCTACACCGATGAACCTGTTCCCGTGACATCTGCCAACTCAACCACACAGTGCTCAACAGAGAGCTGCCAGTCCCAAAGTCTCCCATCTTCGCTCCTGCAACCCGGAACGCAGTTCAAACTTGCAGCCTTCAACGTACGCACATTACTGCAGATCGGTCAGCAAGCTGGACTTGCACGCACGCTAGAGACCCTTGGAATTGATATCTGCTGCCTGAGTGAAACGCGACTCCAGGACTCTAACTCGGTCTACCAGCTGGCGTCACCGCTCCACCCACGCACCCGCTTCCATCTCCGCCTCTCTGGTGACGCCGAGTCTGCCGCATCTGGGCAAGCTGGTGTTGGAATCGCCCTCAGTGCTAGAGCCGAGACTGCTCTGATTGATTGGATTCCGATCAATAGTCGCCTTTGTGCGATGA